CCCCCCAAAGCCGGTAGCGCTGCGCGGGGTGATTGTGACCCACGTGCAGGACCCGGCACTTGGCCTTGTTAAACCTCCCACAGCTGATCTGGGCCCATCGCTCCAGCCTGTCCAGACCCCCCTGCAGACCCTTCCCGCCCTCCAGCAGAGCGACGCTCCCGCCAGCTTGGTGTCGTCAGCAAACCGAGGTGCACTCGATCCCCTCGTCCGGATGGTTGATAACAATATTAAACAGAACTGGCCCCAGCACGGAGCCCGGGGGACACCGCTGGTGACCGGCCAACAACTGGATTTAACTCTGTTCCCCACAACTCTCTGGGCTCGGCCGTCCAGCCAGTTCTTTACCCAGCAAAGAACACGCCCGTCCAAGCCACGAGCAGCCAGCTTCTCCGGAATGCTGTGGGAAACGGTGTCATTCATGAGTCAATCGGTTCTGAGAAGGTAAACAACACCCACAGCCTTTCCCTCATCCACTAAGCGGGTCACCTTGTCATAGAAGGAGATTTGCTCCTCCAAAGGCCACGGCGAGCTCAGGAAGGAGCACTCCCGGCCATCGGATCGCTGCCGTGCCCAGCTGGAGCTCCCCCACTGCAGCCAAGGCTCAACAAAACACCTATATCTCCACTCTGTATTATTTTACGCAACGGGAGCTCCCACCCACAGGACACGAAAGCCAGGCACCAGAACTGAAAAATCCAGGGGTTTAGCCCGGATTTAGCTCTGGCAGGAGGACAGCTGGCAGGGAGAGGGATGTTCGAAGCACTACGAAGACAGCTGGGAGGGAATTGTGCAAGGAGGTTTCTCCGGCCAAGCACGCACAGGGCCGTTCCCTGCGTGCCAGGGATTATTTCTCCGCGTTAGAAGAAACAGGGAGCCGGGCAGGTTGCTGGCACGCGGGAGCCGGTATTGCGAAACGATCGCTGGGCTCGTCGGGCTACGCGTATTTTTTATTACAGTGAGAGTTGGAGAGAGGAAGGGAGACCATCTGGCTAGATTTATAACTTTAAAAAAACCAACCCAATTCCATGAAATTTAAGATATCGGCCCAAAGGAGCCCAAAGACCGGGGCCACGGCCAAGCCCTGGCAGTCACCGCGATGCCGGTACTCACATCAGGACGATGACCAAGAAGTTGGCGAAGGGTGGGATGGCGATAACTCCGATGGGAATGGCCTTGATCACGTCCCTGCGAAACTGCCTCCGGAATTAGAAGAAAGAATCAGGATCTGATGCCAAACTCACAAAATTCAGTCAAAATTAACAGCCCCAGCCCCGGCTGCAGCTTCCAAATGCTGCTTTTAGGCAGAGACGGTGCCTCACCCGGAGGAATTGCCCTCTCTGACCCGCCACCGAAGCCCCGCACACAAACTCAAGCCCTTTTTCGCGGGGAGGAAACGTCCCCGGCGGCAGCGGGGAGGCAGTCGGGGGCTGCGGCACTGAAACACAACCCGAGCGCCGC